ATATACCATGGTGCTGACAACTGGCCCAGGAGTGAGAATCTTTATCTTCTTGATGTTGAGATTCAATCCATATTGAAGACTACAAGTGCTTGACCTGTTGAAGCAAATGCTTCATGTCCTCCTCAGTTTCAGCCAGCATGGTTGTGCCATCTGCATAACGCAGGATGCTGATGAGTCTTTTTCCAATCCTGATGCCACATTCCTCCTCATAAAGTCCAGCCTCCCTCATGAATGATCTGTTCTTCATTTAGATTGGAAAGGAAATAGGAATCACCCCTGATGCACTCTTTTCCTGATTCTGAACCATGCAATGTTTCCCTTTTGGTTCTGACAACTGCTTGCTGGTTTGAGTATATAGGTGTTGCATGAATACAATCAAATGTTCTGGGATTTCCATTCTTCTCAGGATTTGCCACAATTTTTTGGTCCACACAGTCAAATGCTTCTGCAGAGTCAATGAAATATAGATAGACATTCTTCTGGTACTCTCTGCTTTCTGCCAAGATACAATTGTTTTTAGCAATAATATCTCTAGTACCATGGCCTCTTTCAAACCTAGCTTGTATTTCCGGTAGTTCTCTGTCAATGTACTGTCCAGTCATTTCTGGATAATGTTCAGCAAGATTTTGCTTGTTTGTGATCTTTGTTATATTTCCTGATAATTTCCATACTATTTTAGATCACCCTTTTTTTAGAATGGGAATAGATATGGATCTCTCAGTCCATTAGCCAGGTAATTGTACTCTAGATTTCCTGGCACAACCTGGTGAGTATGTCCAGGGCAGCATCTGTTTGCAGAAATATGTCAATTGGTACTCCACCAATTCCCAGGGCCTTGTTTTCTGTCAATTCCTTCAAAGCAGCTTGAATTTCCTCTTTCATCACCCTTGCCTCTTACTTCTGCCAAAAATAGGTGTAATTCCTTTAACTTGCCCAAATATGTTCCTCTTGCCTATATTACCACTTGGAGATTAGTATTTGTTATTACTGATATTTAAAGGACTTGTAATTTGTATTTCTGTGAACTTCTTAACATATTCCCTTTCTTTAGTGGCACTGGACTGATCAATCCCTTATTATATATAGCTTTTCCTTTCACCCAGTTTAAATGTGTGTCTATTAACTAGTTCTTGATCTGAAAGCTCCGCTGAAACCTACCCACCCTGGCTGACTTGGCTGGTATCTCAAATAGTGGTAGCATAGCTTCCAGCATCAAAACAACATGAAAACAACCACAGTATAGCAAACTGATAGATAAGAGACTGAGAAAGGAGGACTGAAATAAAAGGCCTTTGCAAACATCATGGACAATGAAAGAATACTGTTGAATATAGTACTGGAAGATGAGTCTTTAGGTCAAAAGGCACTTAAGATGTAACCAGAGAAGACTGACACTTCAATACAGAGTCCATGAGAAGGATACATATAGAATAAAGGTTTCACTCAGTGAAGGTCCTTCATATGCTAATATGGCATCACTCTAAAATAAGGAGAAATAGCTGAAAACACCTATTAATTAATTATTGGAATATGGAACATATGAAGTACTAATCTAGGGAAAATGAAGTGTAAAATATAACATGTAATACATAAAGATCAAAGTCCCTGACAATAGTGAGTTGAGATGGACTGACATTAGTCAATTGGAATCAAACAAACACATGATTTACTATGCTAGAAATGACAAAATTAAAGAGGAATGATGTGGTGGTATTCAATGCTTAAAAAAGCATTTCAAGCTCTATCCAGAAGTGATAGGATACCACACATATGCATACAAGGAAATCCCATTAATATAACTATTATTTAAACACGTACAGACGAATTGCATTGGAAAAGTCCACTATCAGAGACCTCTCCAAGGTACTGAGGAGCAACGATGTCAGTCTGGAAACTAAGGAGAACCTGATACAGGCCATGGTCTTTGCCAGTACTTGCTATGCTTCAGAGAACTGAACAATGACTAGGAATGATAGAAGGAGAGTTGATGCCTTTGAGCTTTGTTGCTGGAGAAGACTACTGAATATACCATGGACTGCTAGGAGAACAAACAAGTTCATCCTGGAGAGGGTGAAGCCTGGCTGCTCCTTGGAGGTAATGGTTCTGAAGCTTCACCTAGGCATGTTACAAAGAGGGACCAGTCCTTGGGATGACAGAGTGAAAGCACAGGAGAGGAAAATCCTCGATGAGATGGTTTGATTCAGTGACTGGGGTAATTAGGACAGGTGTGTCAGAGACAGTAAGATTGGCATAGGATAGAGCAGGGTTTAAGGGTTATTGTACATAGGGTAACCAGGAGTCACAAGGAGACTCGACAGAACATTAATAACAACAATGAGAATGTGAAACACAATGTGAAAAAAGGAATGCATGAAACTCAATGTATATTAAAAACAAAACAAAACAAAAAACAACCCAACATATTGTATGGGAATGATTGTATGAAACATAACGTAAATGAAGGAAAGCGTGAACATGTAATAAAATTTTGTTTGCCAAACAATATAAAATAATGTTTAAAAAAAGAGAAAGCAATTATTAGGTGTGAATGTTTTTTCTGGTCTTATTTTGAAGATTTCAATGATGGAATGGCTTGAGTTACATTTATAAGTTGGGGGGGGGGGGGAAGAGAGAAAAAAAAACAAAACAAAAAACACACCACCAAACAAAAAAGCACAAAGAACTTTGTTCCAAAACTGAGCAGGTGGAACATAACCATTTAGGGACAGAATAATTTCTCTATATACATTCCGCACACTAGTGTTTAAAGGAAATGAAAATAAGAATGGAGAAAGTGCTCCTTGGAATAAGGATATTGAGATTTCCTTTCATGTTCTTTTGGCATGTTATCAGCAAGGTCCAATGCCTACAGAAAGGGCATCGTATATGGAAAAGTTGAGGGTTGGTGAAGAAGGGAAAGGGCTCCAATGAGATGGATTGACAAGTGACTGCAACAATAGGCTTGAGATTGTGAAACTGGTGTAGAATCAGACAAGGTCTCATTTTGTTGTGCATAGGGTGCCAATAAGGGATAGTGAAGAAGCTCTCTTTCAGTAGCATGATCCACAGATGTTATAAATCTCCATAAGACGATCTGAAGAGTCAATGTGTAAGACCCAAATATCACAAGGAAAATAATTATCTAATACTAGGCATAATTTGTAACTGTTACCCTAATTTCATTAACTCAATATAAGAATGACTCAACTCACATTCTAATTAACTTTTGGCAAAGTAACTGCCTATTCTTTTTGCTAGTAGGAATTTAGCATCTGTCTGGTATTTCAAAGAAAACTGCACAGTTTTCACATTTAGAATTAAAAAAGTAAAATACTGATTAAAATACTTATCTGAAAATAAAAATAAGGTGCTACCATTCACAGATGGACAATAAGGGCAAGAAATATACTAGATATTACAAGATGAGAGGGTAAGGAATAAGAAACTAGTAACGAAAATTATCAAGACACACGGTAATATAATCAATAAAGAGTCAAGAAAGTTCATGGTAAAAATGACTATAGTAAGCTCAACCATGCTCTGAAAAGAAAACTGAAATCAGAAAATTAATAAAATTTAGATACACATATTAAACGGATACACAAAAAACAGCACCCAACAACAAAAATGCAAAAATAGTTTCCTACAGGTTTTTCTCTATCTCACTTTATTTATCTGCACATAATTAAGAACATAAGAATTTGATTTCTTTTCCCACAACTTAAAGGAAAAATTTTCTGGAGACGGTCTGATACTTCCCACCCCAATGTGTGATAATATACCCTTCTACTTAAATAAAATCCAGTCTTCTCTCTAGTTAATAGAGAATCAAGTTAACTAGAGAATCAAGTCACAGAAATGGAATCCTAACAAAAACTTTAATGGCTCACTATAATCTTAACCTTACAAGCAAAAGATAAACTCACACAGACTATTTCAATTTTATTATGAAGATGAAAACAACAATAGAAAATGGAAGGAGGGTGTTTGATAAGCTCAATTAACAGGAAATTCAAATGAATTAAGAACATGATATTATGACCTCTGGGGTAAAAGAAGCAATTTTCCATTTAGTTGACTCTAGATTTTTAATATAGCACCTCCTTCGTGTTTCTATCCATTATTGTTAACCATCATCAAGAATAGGCATTACAACAGGTATAGCTTCAAGTTTTATATTATTTTACTCTTGAAATATAATTATATCTCCAACAGAAGAAATAAAAAAATTAATTCTCTAACATGGGTCACTCAAAAGGGGCATTAGTTAACTATGCCAAAGCATCAATCTGTCAATCACTGTAACAGTAAAAATATTATGATTCTTTTTCTTAAACATGCCTAATAATCTACTATCATTTCCTACTTTAAGCTCCTAAGAATCACTGCAATGAAGAGTTTATTTACATGTTCTCAATAGTCTCTTTGTTAACAAAAAGAGTAAGTTAGCCACATTTAATAAGATTGATAGATGTTCATAAAATATAAATTCACTGAATTTTAAAATTTACTTTTTAAAATTTATACATCAAATGCAAGGATTACTTTTTGAGTGTAACACAGACTACTAGACATCATACCAAAAATCAGACTCTTATGCATTAAGAATCTACTTTTTGTACTCTGAATAACTAACTGTGAGTTAGTGGTCAGCCAACAAATATACAGCTCTCATTTTCATTAGGTTTCTGTTCTACAAGATTCATACACATACAGACACTCACACCCACACTATAGGTAATTTAAAGCCACGACTACAGATGAAACATATGCCAGTTTATACCAACTTCTACTCCAATTAAGTTTTCTCCATCTGCATCTCCCTCTCAAAGAAAACCACACTCCTCATGCTGAACAAGTGATTTCTTACTGTTTGTTTGGCTATATGGATTTTTTCTTAATAAAGCTTATTCCTCTGGTTATTTCATTTTATTCCTCCTAGGTGGGTAATTGCTCCAGAAATGTGACATCTAAAAATTCACAAGTAATCCAAAACTTACTTGGCTTTCTGAATCCATATACAGTAGTCCGAGATATAGAGATCATTTAGAATATAAGCTGGGTCATTTTCCTGAAAAATTTTGTGAATATCCAGGAGACACTTCAAAACTGCACTTTTACCTATATAAGATTTAAAAACATTAAATCGTCATTGAGAATTATATGCTTTAGTGGTAGTATATTAAAAGAAATTCAAGGTTTTCATCATTTTTAAGAATATTTTCAATATTTCATAATTACATGAAAACATAACCTACTAGATCCAAAACACTGTTGATTTCCTAAGAACCTTTATACTCTGGACAATTTTAAATTATTAATTATGGTTGTTATAAAATTACTGCAAAGCACATTAAACAAAAAGGAGGACAATGTTCCAAAAATTAAATAATCATAAAAATATTTAAACTTTAATTATTGTTGTTGTTATGTGCTGCTGAGTCACCTGCAACTCATAGCAACCCTACGTACAACAGCCCTAAACCCTACACTATCTTGTGCCAATCTCACTGTCTCCAACACACCTAGCCTGATTACCCCAGTCACTGAATCAATCCACCTCATAGAGGGTCTTGCTCTCCTGCGCTACCCCTCCACCCTCCCAAGCATGACATCCTTCTGTCCCTCCTTGCAACATGTCCAAAGTATGTCAGACGAAGCTTCAGAATCCTTGCCTCCAAGGAGTACCCCAGTTTAACTCCCTCCCGCATAAACCTGTTCATTTTCTTAGCAGTTTATGGTATAGTCAAGAGTCTTCTCCAATACCACCGTTCAAAGGCATCAATTCTCGTTCTATGATCCCTAGTCATTGTGCAGCTCTTTGATGAATTACAACTGATTACAAAGACCATAGTCTGTATAAAGCACACCTAAGTCTCCAGAGTGAAACAACTGCTCTTCAATACTTTGGAGAGGTCCCTAACATCTGACTTTTCCATTGCAATACATCTTTAAATTTCCATATTGCAGGCTGCAGTCCTTGACACTCTGCAGCAGGCGCTTCAGATCCTCTTCAGTTTCAGCAAGCAGAGTTGTGTCATCTGCATAACGCAGATTGTTGATAAATCGTCCCCAATCTTGACCCCACATTTCTCCTCATAGAGCCCAGCCTCCC